TCAAATGCCTTTAAACCATTATTCTCTATTAGTCTAGTAGAATCTATCAGAAGAAGAAAATTCTTTTCTATGTTCATTTATCTAGTATTTAAAAATAGTTTAAAACCTTGGCATAAAAAAGACCAAAACAACAATGAAAGATACATAGATCAATAGAACAGAATCGAGAATCCAGAAACTAACCCATCTACATACAGCAAACTGATTTTTGACAAAATACCTAAATATATCACAAAGGTAGGTGATAGTGTCTTCAACAGATGGTGCTGGCAGAACTGGAAAGCTGATATGCAAAAGATTGAAACAGGACAACCTTCACCTCACACCTTGTACAAAAACCAACTCAACATGGATTAAAAACCTAAATGTGAATTCCAGAATTATGAAGGGCATTAATGAAAAAATAGAGACAAATGTGAGGGCACTAATTCAGTGACTACACAGACTACGAAACATTTTGAAAACGACACAAACAAAAGTAGACATACTAAAAATTAAAAAGTACGTGCATCAAGACTTCACCAGAAGAGTACAAAGGGAACACACAGAATGGGAAATCTTTTGCAATGACACATAGACAAGGGACTTATCTCTAAAATATATAGGAAACCACACCACCTCTACATGAAAAAACAAATAACCCAATTAAAAAATGGGCGCAGGACACTTCCCCGAGGAAGGCAGCCAACAAACACATGAAGAAATGTTCACAATCACTAGCCATTAGAGAGATGCAAATTAAAACAAAAATGAGATATCAACTGACATCAGCAACAACAGCAAAGAGATGGAGCAGCTGGGGACTTTAGACCCAGAGCGGGAGAGAGCCTGTATCCTGAGGACGAGGGGGTACGTAGATGGATATACCCTGTGGTTGGTTGATGATGCATGGAGGGGACTGTAACCATGGCAATAAAACAATATATGATAGGATGAATATAAAACTAATGTAAAATATCACATAATTCACAATAAAAACATTTTTTAAAAAATGACCAAAACAGTCTGTCAATAAAAATGCAAAGTCTTATGAGCACAAACTAACTTAAGCCCTGGCCTGGTGCTGTGGATTCATGCATTGGACTGCAAGGTCTACAGTTCAAGCTCACCACTTGCTCTTTGGAAACCCTATACAGGGGTCGCTGAGTCAGAGCTGACTCAATGGCATTTAACATGAGCACAAATAAAAAAAACAGAACTAAAGGTCTTCATTCATCTATACTTAAAAAAATTAAGATGGCCAAGCCTTTCTAATTTAAAATGAGTATGAGTTTCAGTAATGTTTCATTCACTCATGAATGAAACAATATGAAGCATATTGTTAAGTGCTGTCAATTCCGACCCAGAGACCCTGTATAGGGCTTCCAAAAAGCGACTGGTGAGCTTGAACTACCGACTTTGTAGTTCAAACAACTTTGCCACATCAGGGCTTTTAGCACATTAGCCTACAATGCCACAAAAGACACACATATTACATACCCTAATTTCAATAGAGCATCTTTAATAGCTAAAATTGTCAATTTTCTACAGATATTACCTAGATCAAACGATAATTTCTCTCCCAAATTTAGGTCTATTTTCAACAGTTTGTAATACGTATTTTATCCCTTTGAAAGTTTTTTCCCCAGCCATAAAGTTAAACAATAGTATATCATAATCTAAAGTTTTGTTATTGTTCAGTGCCATTGAATCCATTCAGACTCATAGCCATCCTCCTGTATAGGGTTTATGAAGAGCAGCTGATGGGATTGATTTTGCAGTTCAAACTATCCTGCAAGCACATCAGGATTTGAAATAGTGATAAATTTTTTAAAAATCTTAATCTTACCTCAAGATTATTTAAATAATGGCTGTTCTGGCTTCTATTAGAAATTTTAGACTGAGTTCAAAATCACCATAAAGTGTAATGCAATATAAAAAAAAAAAGATACATATTATCATATTCTATAGAGGACTCCTAGAATCCTGGTGTGGTGCTTCAGGATAATGAACTAGACTAAAAAAAAAAGATACATGTATCATAGTCTATAAGGACTCCTAGAATCCTGGTGTGGTGCTTCAGAATAATGAACTAGACTACTAGGTCAGTTTGAACTGCAAGGTCGCGACGGCATGTAACAAAGAGTGTGGTGCTGCAGTTCAAACCCCCTAGTTGCTCCCTGGAAACCACATACAGGGTCACTATAGGTCGGAATCCACTCTAAGGCACTTAACAGGGAAGGGACTATTTCATGTTTAGAAATTACATGTGCCTTAGAACTCTTACTTGAAGCACATACTCACAAAAGAAAACAGGTCATTTTGAAGACAAAAGTATACCTGACCCATGCCATGGTTTCTTTAATTATCACATCTGCAATGTAAAAGCTGAACAATGAAGGAAGGCCAAAGAACTGAAGTGCTTGAATTATGCTGTTGGCAAAGAGTATTAAGTAGACAACTGACTGCCACAAAAAGAGACTACCTCGGGAGTAAGAACCACCAAAACGTGAGACTGGTGAGCACTTGCCTCAGAACTTTGGACATGTTATCAAGAGGGACAGTCCCTGGAAAAGGACATCAGACGTGGTGGTGGTGGTGGTTGTTTATTGTTAAGTGCTATTTCTAACTAATGTTTTTGTTGTGAAGTGCCATCGAGTCGGTTCCAACCCATAGTGACCCTGTATAGGGTTTCCAAGGAGCAGCTGGTGAGCTTAAACCGGTGAGCTTGCAGTTCAAAAGGCTTTGCAGTCTGTGACATTAACCCACAGCACCACACCAAGACTCCATTTCCAACTAATAGTGACCCAAGGAGTGGCTGGTTAACAGTCCAGTACTGATCCTATAGCTATAGAACTTAACAAAGCTGTTTCTGTTTTTGAACTGGAGTTATGCTCACAATATTGTCTTCCCATTCCTTCCTGCCCTTTCCACTACTGCTTTGGAAAACCCAAATTTTTTTCTCTTTCCTTTTCGATCATTCTCACCTTTCTTATTATTCCTTATCTGATTCAACATTGTAAAACTTGTATAGCAGCCTTCTAATTGGATAGGAATATATCTCTAGCAATGTTCAAGGGTTTATTTTTTTATACTACCAGATATAAATAATAAGCAGCTGGTTTTAAAACAATTCATTGTTTTTACTGAAGGTTATATGAAATGCAACTAGAAGAAAATACTTTGGAACATAAATTTACAGATTAAATTAGGGACATAGATAAATGCTGCAGACATCAGTAGTTTATTGTATGTTTAGTCCAAACACATTCAACATGGAAACTCAAAGAATACTTTCCACCTGAAACAATGAAACTAGATTCTACTAGCATATGATGCTGAACACATTACAGCAATAAAGATGGTAATCACTGTCTTCTACACCTACTAAAGCCAAGATGGTTAAAGCCAATTTGGTTGTTAGAGTGTCATAAGGATAGAATAGTACCACCACCCCCTCCAAAAAAAGCAAGTAACAATAATGGTAGATGAATATTTTTACTGTTTCACTTGAAAAGGGGACACAGTTAAAGTCCACAGTACTGCAGGTGAACAATCACCATGTAAACTTCTCCAAATGATGTTTTCATATTTTCTTCAAAGTACGTACAGACTGAAGCTGAATGGCTCTTTGCTCTAATTTTCCATTACATTTAGTATTTGTTGTTAATTTGGGGGCCAGAACATAGTTACATAGTAGTTTCATGAGTGACAGGGAAATATCCTGGATTGAGCTGGAGGTATTTTATTTATATATATGTATGTACATATATATAAATAAAAAATATACATATACATATACAAGGGAGTTTCAAAAAGTTTGTGGAAAAACTGAATTAAAAACCATTGGTTTTTTTCCAGGAACTTTTTAAAGTCCCTTCGCGCGCATGTCTGTGTATATATATATACATACACACACACACACACATATAGATATAGATATAGATATAAAATGGGGAAAATAGGAAAACACACACTAAAAATAAAAACAAGAGAAAACAAAGCACAACACTGACAATAAAACACTCAAAAGCAGCTTGAATAAAGACTTCAAAACTTGAAAGTAAATTTCTGATAAGAACTTCAAGTACTATGAAACTAATATCTGAAAGTGTAAAACTTACAAAATAGGAAAAACAATTTATTTAACCCCCCCAAATAAGTGTCCCCAAAACTATAACCAATAGTGCAAGACTCTTCTTCAAACATGGAAGACCTCATTCAAGGGATTGGGGGGTTGGGAAATAAGACAGAAGACAGATTTAATTTTACTCATACTGCCCAGTGAAAAACAAAATACATGCATCATTTGTTAGGTTCCTAGATAGTATAAATTATAGCCAATTTGTAATTTTTGTTTTGTTTTTAGCTAATATAGAATGGAGAAGTCTTCCATGCTAACAGTAACAAACAGTTGAAGTGGTCATACTTATCTCATCCCTAACCTGAAACATCAGAAACTGGTACGTACTGAATGCTCCAAGCATGAAACTGGAGATCCTTCACTATACCTGTGGTTTACTGGAGCTTGCTTTATATAAAGACAGACAACCCAGCAGCTACAAATTTTGCTCACAGAATTGTTCAAAGATTCATGTAAAAATAAAAGATGTCATCCCAGACTTAAATTCAGAGCCACTCAGGTGCTGACATCAGGTTCAAGAATTGTGCAAAATGAATGACAGTTCCCTGCTCCCCAAGTAGAAAATTCAAACACTTAAGAGCTACTGTTCTTTTCTCTGAAAATTGCAGTATCCTCACTTCAGGTTTATTTGCCATTTATGGAATCTGACTGCTTTTAAAATGTCACTAAAAATGTACATCAAGTTGACTGACTTTTCAAAGCACCTCTCAAGTGACACACTTCAATGATTGAATCCTTAATAACAAAAAAAGTCAACTAGACTTACTCAAAAGAGCCGACTTCCTATTTCCCTCTCCCTCCCAAACACACAAAACTCCCTCCCACAGAAAACACAAAGTTGTTAACTTAAGAATATGGTAAATAATATGCTAGTCAATTTTACTGATTTTAAAGATACTGCAATTTTTATACAATTCAATGATTTTTTTCAACATTTTGCAGCTGTTTGGCTTCAAGCACAGCAATTCATACACTATACTGTACAAAATTACCAGCAAAACTGGAATGATGTATTAATAGAAGGCACCATCATGCTTATTACATTACCAGAGAACAAAAATACAGTAAAGACCATTTTCACTGTACACAGCATAAAGAAAGGAAAAGGGGTAGGAGGAGTGTGTTGAGCAGCCAGCCATCTCTGTACTGAAGAGGGGCAGGTAGAAAATCTTAGATACGGCGCTACTAAACCTGGTCTATTATTCAAAGACCAAGGTTTTGAAGTTCTTAATTGTGTTTAGTTCATAACTATTTTCTTCTGGATATACTTGTAGTCTTGTTAAGGTTTATGTGTACACACGCTGGTCACAGCAAGCAGATAAAATGCCCTCATCATTTCACAAATTATTCTCTACTGGAAAAGAAGATGAAAGAATTTTTTCCCTGTTGCCTCCTGTTGCAGATGTCAATATTAATGAGTTCAGCGTACCCATTAGTGCATTTTGATGAGTGCATAACACGTTTCCGTTGATTTATATTTTTGGGAGGAGCCAAGAAAAAAAGGCAAGATTCCCCAATTGCACAAATTGCACTATTTGTGTTTCCAGCATTAATAGGCAGAAACAGTTAACACTTAAAACAAAATGTGCAGCGGAGGATTTTTTTTGACTCAAAGGACCTGGATTCAGTTGGGAATGTCCTTTTAAGTTCATTTCATTGTAGACAGTTTAAATTATGGTCATTTCTCAGTCCGCATTTCTCCAAGTCTAGATTTATAAATTAACAATGTGAATCCTGTTGTAAAATTGGGGAAATACTGTCCACCTCAATTTAACTGATAACCGAAAGATGCTTTTCACATCAAAGAAATGATCAAAAAAAAGGCTGTGTCACATTCCAAAGCCAAAAAAACAAAAACAAAAAAAAAAAACCTAACAAGAATGCAAACACGATGAATAATGTACCACTGTCAAGACTTTGCCAACAGTGGAGCTTCAGCGGCGCTGTCCTGTGAAGCGGCCTTCCATTTGTCCGGTTCCTCTTCCAGAGCCAAGTTTCTGTGCCATGCCACCTCTTGGAGGTGGTCCTCTTCCATCACAATCACGCATCATTCCACTGCCCACGATTCCCCGTGGACCACCAGGACCTCGATCATTGCGTCTGATATCCCTGCGATCATCACCACCACCCCTGGTTTCTCGTTCTCTTGCAGCTCTAGTTTTCTTCTCTTCCACATTTAGACGCACTTCACCTCGAAACATAATTGGCTTTAAAAGGGAAGAAAAACAATTACATGGGCAAGTTAGACACCAATACAAATAACACTGCCTTGCATAGGTAAATAAGAATATCTTATTTTGGGGACTTTAACTCTAATTTGTAAAGTAGACTTTAAAAGCCTTGAGTTATACTCCCTAAGTCACTTACTTTTGCAATTAAGATTCTCTGAACTGGTTCAGAGTCATCAAAAACCACAAAACCAAAATTTGGAAGCTTTCCCCCAACACCCTTGGTATTGATGCGAAGTTCTACAACGTTTCCAAAACCTGTGAAGATACAAATTATACCATGGGTTAAATATATTAACAAAACACTTGATGGTCTTAATTGTTCAGGATGAATAACCTTAATCTCTTTGCTATATGTGGAGTCCTGGTGTAGCACTGTGGGTTAATGTGCCAGACTGCAAAGCCGTGTGAACTGCGAGGTCAGCAGTTCAAGCTCACCAGTTGCTCCTCAGAAGCCCTATACAGGGTCGCTATGGGTCAGAACCAACTTGATGGCACTTAACAACAGCAACAATAACCTCTCATGTATGCCATGACCTAAGATACTAGCAGCTTGTCGGGTTACCTCCCTTTGCATCTGTGTAAGTTCTTTTGTAAATAAAGCTACTATAGGTTTAGGAGCTCTGGTAGCGTAGTGGTTACGAATCGGGCTGCGAACCTTAAGGTCAGCGGTTCGAAACTACCAGCCGCTCCGCGGGAGAAAGATGAGGCTTTCTACTCCCGTAAAGATTTACACCCTCGGAAACCCTGTACAGGGTCGCTATGGGTCGGAACCGACTCGACGGCACTTAACAACAACAATAGGTTTAGGAAGACAATATATTTTTCCTAGGTCTAACATGTATTTGCCATTGAATCTCAGAATTTAAGACTGCTTCTTCTAGCTTTTTCTCCTAACCTACTGAAACAGGCCAAGTCAACACTAGGCACAATAAATGAAAACATCTCTGACAGTATTTTACTCACTCCTTTTGATTGGTGAATTGGGGGGGGGGGGGCTAGAGTTATACTCCTTAATTCAAAAACATAGCAAAACAAACCACTTACTCATGAAGAATTCTTTCAGTTCATTTTCATCGATATCATGTGGCAAGTTACCAACAAAAAGTTGATGACTATCTGGATAGCGAATTATTCTACGGCTGTCAGATTCATTTTGCTCAATATCTCCTCTGCCTAAGAAGAATAACAGAGCAGATATTAGTTTACAACTTAATATAAAAACAAGTTCAAAGCAATGAAGGCAGCAATAATTTAACACTGGTATTACTGTTTTAGTTTAATCAGATGGTAAGCACCTTTAACAGAGATGGATGTGCCTATAATTAGTAGGTTAGTTAGAAAAAAACATGACACTAAACTGAAAATTGAGAGTACGTAACTAGATTGCTAAAGTCCCTTCTTCTAGAGCTAATGGTCTGATTATATGAAAATCAAATATTAGAGATACAGATATTCTTCCTTACTGAATGAACTGTTGTCATCACCAAATAGCAGCAGTGAGGTACATTTATGTTAATTATTTGAAATTCACAAATTAATCAATGGTTGTATAAATTACAACCAAGTAAGTCAGTTGCAGTAATATTTCATTTGCATAGTCTTATATACATATCTACCGTTCCACTACACAAGAAACACAGTAAGTCATATAAGACAGGCATCACAAGAAAAATCTGTGGGATAAGTCAATGATGTAAGAAGAAACTCAGAATTTAATGGTCCCATTAAAGATCCTAAATTCTACCCAGTGGCAGAGCTGGGACAAATCCCATCTCCCATGACTTGAGGATTAATAACACATTACATTCTTTAATAACCACGTATTATAAATATGAAGCATACAATTTCCCATCTCCTCCCAAAAGCAATCTAAACATACTGAATAGAATTTGAACAGAGGTGCTACACATATTAACTAACAATGTAAACAAGTCAAAAATCATGGCAACTTACTTAATACCTAAGACAATCAAAATAAGAAGAATCAGGGTGTGCTTATTGTTATCTGTGAAGAGATAAGAGTGCTAAGTAAGAGAGTAGGTTATTGGCAACTCGGTTTGAATTTCTACAACCAGTGACAATAACCAAATAACGTTTGTCTACACCTTCCAAACACATTTTTCCATGGCATGTCAACCAATCCTCCCCTAAAAGTTAGTTTGTTCTGCCTGAGACAATAATTCCAATAGGTTATTCAAGCCTTTAGACAATTTAGACACTCCTCAGAAAGCCTATGCTCACAGAGTAGCTATGAGTGAAATACAACTCGACAGTACTAACAATACATATATATACATATATTTAGTTTCTCTTTAAAAAATATTTCAGTCTTTTCAAGTACTAAATGTAAAGGCTATAGAAAGGGCTGAAGAGGCTGACTCACCAGGCCTTGGTCCTCTAGGGGGAAAACCAGGTCGTTCCCTAGGTCGTTGTTCACGCACACGAGGTGGCTGAGACTGAACTTCTGGTTTAGCTTCAACTCTTGGCTAAAATATAAGGAAAAAACGTATTATAAAGAAACATTCAACAGGAGAAAAGCCAACTAAAGCAGCTACTAACAAATCACTATGTTAACTTTACAATGTTTAACATGGTATGCTTGTGAAAAATTAACTTTTTACAAAGATGTTCTGTACCAATCTAGGACTGTAGGGTAGATTCTGTTTTCATACTCAAGGCTGTGTCAACTCATAAGATGCTTTTTTACAATCACATTTTTTCCAATAATATTATACCACACATAATTAGACAGCATAAAAGGTACTACAAAAAAAAAAAAATCACAAAAATGCATGATGAGCCACTCAATGTAAATACATATCAAATTTATAAGCCATTTTTATCTTAGAAAGACAGTACATGACACATATTTATTACTAAATATCTGAGATTCCTGCCCTTCAAATGTTTACAGTTAATATCATCTAAACTCCTGCCCCATAAATACAACTTAAAATCAGTAATTTGATAGTTCAAAGTATACAATTTAGCCTACTTTGACATCAAAGAATGCTATCTTTAACATTAAGTTTAAACACATGTTTAAAAAAAATAAAAACTTATGTAAGAAGGTATATATGTAGCATCTCAAACATAAAAGTCCTTTAGATCCCTACTGCTCTTTATGGGAAAGATGTGTGTTTATTTAAGTATTGACCCCAATAGTCTTCCTTAACTGTTTGGGGGACAGGTTAGAGATTAATAGGACATCTTAAAATAATCTCCCACAAGTTTCTAACTGTTGAATTAAACATATAAGTACTTTTAAGACAATTAACATTATCAAAATATTACCTTTTCCTTAAAATAAAGTCGTTTTTAATATTCTCCAACCTCTTAAAGTTTACTGTTGCCCAAGTATGAGGAGGCTTCAAAACTTCATGGAAGAATGGAATTTAAAGATAAAGAACTTTTCCACAAACATTTTGAAGGCCCTTTGTATTTATGGTCCAATAAACAACATATGAACCTTCAAAGCATGCTAAAAGCTCAGCAGGATATAGAGAACACATGTTCTCAAATCAGACAGCTAGAAATTTGAGTCCTGTCTTTATATGTAATCATCTCTGAGGCCCTCAGTCTGGGCAGTGGCTCAGATTCATCATTTATATAATTGAATGTTATAATTGACAAGAGCTAACTTTGATATAAAAGTGTTTCTTTAAAAATGGCAATTATAAATTATTTCAGCCATGGTAACCAAACATGTATTAACTCCAATTCAAAGTCATTTTAACAGGTTTACCTAACTTCTCCCCAAATTGGTTTTTAATCATGCACATTTCCTGTTTCCTTCAAGATGGTTTTGTTTCCCATGTTGTTTTGTTAAAAACACATGAGGAATTTTAACAGAATTTTGTTAAAATAAGAAATTACTGCTCATCAGTTTGTTTTCAAATATTTTGTATGTCGTGTAAGACCCATCCCATATCTAATTCATTTCTACATTATAAACAGTGCCACCAGACATAAATTTTCAGTACCTATTGTTTTGTTGTAAAGAAAATTACATTTTTAATTCTCTGATCAATTATGCAGGACAATGTTCTATGCTTGAAAAGGGATCATTATCTTTTATTTGGAGTTTAATGCTGAAAAATAACTTGATACCAAATGTGATGCTTGAAAGAGGGTTAAAAATTTCAACTAAGAGAGCCTAAAAAGGTATACCTTACCTCAGTATGAATATAATAAAGTATTAAAAAATAAATTTCCCAGTTAAATTACTGTATTATTATAAATTCCTAAAAATTAAATATGTAATGTTTATTTTTAAATTTTAGAAAAACTTTACACTCACTCCAATCTCTGATGACTTGAGACCCTGGATGACTTTTTTGACTTTCTTTCAAAACAGACTACCAAAACAAAATTAACTCTGAGGAGCTCTGGTTGCATAGAGGTTACGAGTCAGGCTGCTAACCTCAAGGTCAGCAGTGCAAAACTACCTCCTCAGGTAGCCTCGGAGCCTTATGAAGGATCACTATGAGTCGGAACCAACTGCACGGCCACCACTACCGGAGAAAACAAAAGCCTTTCCTTATTTATTAAGGGTTAAAACTGAAAAAATAGACCATTTCCAACGTTTTACAAACAACTCATACCATTAATTTAGCATCTGACTTTTAAGTAGATACTAAATTATACCAGTGCAAGAAAAATGTGAGAACAAAAAACTAACAGTATTCCTTGCAATAACAGATTAATAATAAGCCAATAGTGCACTATAAATTTTAGGTCCAATTTCATGATTACAATGTTACTCCAAACAGATGAGACGGCTAATATTATTAGGGTCTTAAACTAATGTCATATAACCAAAATGTGTATTCATGTAACAAATCCCACAAAGGAAGATCATAGGATTAAAAAATAAAACCTCAAACCAAATCAATACTATGGATAAAGAGAATAAATAAATCCTTCAATTAAACATAAGGTATTTATAGGAACTAATCAATGTTCAGACAAAACCTTATCAAAAAATTAATATACCAATTTCTAAGTTAATGTCTACCAAAACCCTGGAATTAGATTTAATTATCCTTTATTAATAATCTATGCTAAAAGTTTGAGGAAATGGGTAACATGCCAAAGTAACAAAATAAAACAATGATTTATTAAATCATATAGAATTATCATGAATCAGTTCTAAATAAAATACAGTCTAAAGAGGTTAGAAAGCTATTTTATAGAAATTTTACTTTAAAATTTGTTTTAATAAGGGGGAGGGTGGAGGTTAAAAAATACAGTCTTTTTTTCTCTATTAAACAAGCAAGCAAGCATACAAACAAACAAACAAACAAACAAAAATGCTTGATTACTTTCCTGAGCAAGAAAACCTAATATAATTTAAAGTTGTCTTAAATATGAGTATTCTCCTTTCAGCAAGAGGCTAAGGAAGATCTGTAGAACTGCATTAGCCACATATGGGCTCTGCTGCCAAACTGCGTGAATTCAAAGTCCAGTCCTTGCTACTACTTATAACAGCTGTCAGATCTTGAGTTACTCTAGTTCTCAATTTTAATAACTGTAAACTGGGGATATTACTAGTGTTCACCGTCACAAAGAAGAACGAATATAAAGTGTTTACCACAATGCCTGGCATATATTAAGAGCATAAAAAGCCCTCAATTTTTTTTAACTATCAGGAAGTTAATGGAGTACAGTGGTTCCATATGATAAGCACTAGACTCCAAACCACAAGGACCACAGTTCAAGCTCACCAGTCACTCCAAGGGAAAAAGATGAGGCGCTTTCTGCTCCCTCAAATACTTAAACAGCTTCAGAAAGCCTATACAGTGTCGTTATGAGTCGGGACAGACTCAACGGCACTTTAACAACAACAACCAGTTACACTAAAAATAAAAATGTAGCCAACTCAATGAAATACAGAAAAAAAAAATCCAAAGATTCCAAAATACAAATCAGCAAAGATTTCAAGAGAAAAACCAAGTCACCTATCAGGTCTTCAGATGGGTTGAAAAACACAAGCAATACTTACTGGATGAACTAACTTTCTTCTTTAAAGCAGAATTCTGATCTACAGAACATCTGGCCTACAAGGCTGTATTAGGCCCTCAAAATCATTTGGTCTGGCCTGACAAAGCAACCGCAGTTCCAGCCATCACATTAGGGGTTGAGTTGATTAAATGTTCGACTAAATATAGCAGGCTAATTTTTAATTTGATAATTATGTATGGCCTGCGAATGGTTGTTAGAAATTTGACTAAAAAAGTTTCCCACCCCTGATTTAATTGGGGTGGGAAAGAAAAAAAAAAGCAATTAGGGGAAGTGCATTCTATCATATGGTTGATTATAATGGTTTCAACAATAGACAAAGACTTGTCTAATAATTACTAGCTATTTTTGAAACACCACCCCCCATGGTTTTACTGTACAGAGCATATAAAATATATATACAAACTGATACTTTTATATGCATTAACCATTTTAAATGGTTACTACTCAAAATGTAGGTATAAGAATTAGAAATTCTTTATGCCTAAAAATTAGGACTTCTCAGCTGGTGTCTTATTTCTAACATTTTTGGAAGCTTTTGAAATGAGTAAGATGACAAACAGACAAAAAGCAGAATACTGGAATGATCAGTAAAGGTGAACACTACAGTCATAAGTTGGTACAGGCTTCAATTAAATGGTGTGAACCACTTAAGGACTGAGAACTTAGGCAGTATATATTTAAAACATTTGTTAATTTTGTTTTTTAAACAGTGATTCTTGATAATGTTGTACTACTTTGTGCCTTTCCAAATTTCTCCCATAGGTAGAATTAAAAGCCCTAAAATATTATTTTCTAAATGAAATTTCAAACATTTTTTAAAGGAACATTTTTTGTTATTATTTTAAGAAGCCTTTTTAAATAATATAGATTGGGAAAACCAACTTAATCTGTATTTCACACACCCAAACCCCAAATACCACCTATGTAGATGATGAATGGAGATTTGGCCTTTAAAGTGGGTGCATTTACATTTAATACAAATTAATTTTTTGTATATTTAATCCATATTTCCTGATTGACTCATTTTAAAAAGTATTAAAAAGATAAGCAATTGGCAATGTAACAAGGATACAATCCAATGTGTTCACAGATTGGTTACCTGTGAGACTGGTGCTTTAACATGGGGTGGAATTCCAGAGGAAGAAACAGTACCACTAGGAGGCAGGTTTTTACTGGTCACTGAAGCCCAGGAGAAAGCCTGCAGGAAATGCAACAAACCTAGACTACTAATCATGGAAAACCACCAACATTCCTATAGGGAAACTTCCAAATATATATTTTCTTTTCATTGCTCTATATTGGAGGACTCTTAAAAGAAAGGCACACACACACATGCCAGTCTATGTGCCAGCTTTCTAAATCTCATTATGTAAGATTAGGACTGTATGTTTTGTCTGAACTACTAACTAAAACCATAAAAGCAAGTTCGTTCCTATAAACTCTAAGTAGATGAGCAAGTGGCAAACAAAACTACCACCAACTATAAATGCTAAAAAAGTCTGAACCTAACAGAAACAATTTTTTTTCCCTTTTGGGGGAACAAAGGGTGAAATGGTGCTGAGGGTAGAGGGGACACATAGGAAAGAATAGAGTACTAGCTGGAAACTTTAACAGACATTCACAAATTGAACAAGAATTCTCTCACTACCCAAATATATTTTAACCTCTAACGTATAGAAAGATAAGATGTTTAAAGTAGGCTTAAATGATACGTGATAGTTCTCACTCATCTTTCCAAGACAGTTTAATTGATGTGGTAAGGAACAGATCCCATTTAAATCAGAAATAATAGTCCAACTTGTTTCAAGTTGTACTCCTGCTATTAGGCTTAAATTTGCATCTGCACTTAAAGAGTTCTTAATTCAGAATAAAAGAGCAACCGAATAGCCTTATATATGAACCTAAATGATCTCACGTTAATGACTAAACATTGTATACAGACAAGGATTAATCGTAAATCCTAAATTTCAGTTTATACTTAGGGGTATAATGGGGGGGGGGGATGAAATTTCCTCAGTATAACAAAAATCCCCAGCTTCTTTTAGATACATTAAAAAAAAAATTTAATTAATTTACTATGTAAAGTTATCTATTTAGCATACTAGAACAAAGGTCTTGCCTTCATTAATGGTACCAAATATGAAATTGTGATATTACAGATCTAAAGAGTCTCCTCTGATCTAACCTTTGGTGGTTCTTGTGGTAGAGAAACAGGCTCCGCAGGAGGAGGAGAAATAGACTTCTCCTCTAATTCTTCTAAGTTTTTCTCCTCCACTTGAGGTTTAAGTTCTTCAGTCTTTGTTTCAGATTCTGGCTCAGGTTCAGGATCATGAGACGATTCTTCCAAAGGCTCCTCTATGCCATTACTATAATAAAATATTTTGTAAATATTTTCAGTATGAATGAAACATTCAGTTAAAGTAAGATAAATTCAATCTGTCTCTAACCTCATGAGCCTAACTAGTAACAAGGCACTAATCTATTATATGTGAGGGGGCTTCAAAAAATTAATGGAAAGATGGAATTAAAAGAGAAAAATGTCCCCGATCTTTCTGACACACCTAGATATATATCAGAGCTATGAAACAAAAATCCAATAATAAAGCAACATTTTTTTCTAACCAATTATTGGAATACTAAAATGTTTTCTTTGACATTAACTATAATTTCTACATTATATTAAAAATATATATAAAATGTTTATTCTGTGTATTCCTCTAAACAGTCTGTATTATCAGTAAAAGAACCCTGCTTTGGACCAAACTACACTAAGTTTTTGAATTAAATAAAAACAATTCTTTCCAAATCATCCATATTATTTGTTGTTGTTAAATGCCTTTCATACTATTCCAACTCACAGCAAATTGGCCCAATCAGTAGTTTTATAAAAAGATCTACTTCTAACAAAAACCACCTGTGGCAGCTGCGTACTAGTCAGACCTAATTTAAACTTGCAAACACTATTCTTACGTCACAGGATGAGTTTCATAGTATCCACTACTGGCATTTTCTTGCACAGGCTCAGGAGATGGTTGCCTTTCTTCTTGTTCCTCTTCTACTTCATCTTCTGATTCTGATAACACACAATGTATCACATCTATTTTTAAGAAGCTTAACACAATTTTGATACGTGAAATTTTAATATGTTTAAGAAAATAAAAGAAAGCTAATATGATTGTAAAAAACAAAAGTATTGGCCGATATTGACTTCTAACCTCAAGGTTGGCTCCTTGGCAAGTCTAGTAAGTTGGAAATGGCTTTAACAACAAGGTTATTTCAAAATTTTTCTATGAAAGCTTGATTCCTCAATACATTGGGTTGACAGAAATGGGCAACTTAAGCACACTGGCTATCAAAAATGGGGGACTACAAAGACACGAAAAAGCTGGCTTACAAGCTTTCAGAGTGTGCTTAGTTTCAGAATGAGGGAGTTAAGGTAGAATCCCCAATGAATAGTTTTTTTTCTTTTCCAGATGGGTCTGGTGAAAGGGGCTGGAGGATAATGGTGACAGAATTTTGATTCAATTGTGTGTAATTTTTACCAAGACTAATTGTGATTGTCACAGCTGTAAAGGTACAAGATGTGTAACTAAAAGGGAGGAGTAATCTTTCACTTCAAGAACAGAGAACCCTAGAACTAATAAGAGGGAAGAACATGAGTGGAGCATGGGATCCTAAGCAGAAAAGTGGCTACAGCAGAGACAATGGCAGAGGCAAAAGCACACAGAGATAGAGCAGCTGAGTACTCTAGGCCCATGGAATAAGAAAGGCTGGATGCCTGTGGGCTTGCAAAGTGTGCCCTTTAGACATTTAAACAAATATGTATTTGCTATTTTGTATGTGTACATCAAAAAAAAAAAAAAAAAAAGGTGGGGGGGGAATAGAGACAAATACTGTTGACTGATGGCACATGGGAGGAGACTGTGATCATTGTAATAAAATAAAACAAACTTTCATTCAATTCACAATAAAAACTTTTAAAAAAGTTATCTATGAATGGAAAAAGGATGAGAGGCCAATGATTTATTAGTTTCCTCCATCAAATATATTCAACAGAGAAACAAAAATGTGTGAGCACAATTGGAGGAGTAGTTAATCTTATATTCCCGGAACAGAGGACCCTAGGACTATCATGGGAGAAGAGCACAAGCGGAATGTGGGATCCTATTCAGAGAAGCAGCAACTTCAGAGATCAAGGTAGAGATGGGGATATGGAGAGAGGAAGAGGCTGAGGACTCTAGATTCCTGGAAAGAGAGGGACTAAGAGCTGGCAGCCTGTTTAAAAAAAAAAAAACAGCTAAAATGAATAGAGAGAAATACTGTTAACTGATGATACAGGGAGGGAATTATAATCATTGTAATAAAACAAAGTATATGATTTGTTAAATGTAAAACTGATGATATGCCCTAAAAACTTTTTCACTCAGATCACAATAAAAACTTAAAAAAAAAAAGAGTGAATATATATTTATGTAAGGAGCATATATGTGTGTATATATAGGTTATGCATATGTGTATGCATGTATGTGACTGTATGCACAGATATAATGAAGTACACATAGGATCTTCTGCATTTGAAGGATTAGGACCATAGCCTTAGGAGACATCTTGGTCAACTGTCGTAATACAGTTCAAAAAGTGCTGTTCAGTTTAGTGAATAATGACAAAGGTCTTAAAAGTTTGAGAGCAGCCATCTAAGACACAACTATTAGTCTCTATCCATCTGAAGAAAAAGAGTAAGAAGAAAATCAAAGACTCAAGAAGAATTTAGTCTACAAGACAAATAGTTTACATAGAGAGAAACACTGTTAACTGATGATATATGGAGGGGATAATAATCAATGTAATGAAACAAGCTATATGAATGGTTGAATGTGAAGCTGATGATGTGCCCTGTAAACTTTCACTCAATCCAAAATAAAAACATTTAATTAAAAAAAAAAAAAAAACCCTATGGAGGAAAGCTTTTCTCTGACACACCTGGGCTTGCTGGGAGTTCAAATTAACACAAGAACAACTGACTTACTGGTATGTTCCCAGTGGGAATTTGAAAACCTACCTCAAGCACTACTAGCACAAGGCAGACAAAGAAGAGAGCGGCAGAGCAGGGAGAAATATCAGTGAAGTTACTTCGCAACTCATTCAAGAAAGTTCTTTTAGCCCCTTTGGGCTGCTACCAGAGGCCAGGATTCTAGCTGTGTCTAGATCCTCTCTGGCTGTGCCTAAGATAAGGTAAACCTGATCCCAAGCTAATGGTCAGGTTGGACAGTTTTCCTATGACTGCACATTGTTGTTGTTATTAAAGTTCTGTGGATCAGTTCCAACTCATAGAGACCCTGTAAAGGGTTTCCAAGGAGTGGCTAGTAGGTTTGAACTACAAACCTTGTGGTTACCAGTACAGTGTTTATCTTACAGCACCACACCAGGACTCCATGATCACACTGTTGTTGTTAAGTGTTGTCAAGTCATTTCCGACTCATACCCCAACGTAGTGTTTTGGAGGAGCAGCTGGTGAATTTGAACTTGAGTTTGTGGTTCAAACCAAACTTGCAGTCCAGTGTTTATCTTACAACACCACACCAGGACTCCATGATCACAAAGGGTGTGCTATTTAACTTATTCTTCTTCCTGGAAGCAATCAAACTCAGGAATTGTATTATTAAAATGATAGTATAGTCAATAGTGAATAATTGTTATCAAGACTGATTATAAGGCCTGGAAATGTAAAGGCAGACGTTTGGGGGCAAAGGAAGGGGAGTGATTAACCTTGCAGTCTAAGAGCGGAGGTTCCTGAGACCATCAAAGGAGAAGCACAGAGAACAGAACCCTACGCAGAGAAGCAGTGATATCAGGGATGGAGGCAGAGGCAATGACGTGGGGAGATGGAGAAGCTGGGGACTTTGGACCCAGAAGTGAGAGTGGTGGTATGCAGATGACCGGGGGGCAGGCTTGCAGTGCATAACCCTTCGGTTGATGGATGATGCATGGAAGGGATTGTAAAGATGGCAAGGAAATGATTTGCAACGGGATAAATGTGAAGCTGATGTCCTCCCATGTAAACTATCACATAATTCACAATAAAGCCTTAAAAAAAAAAAAAAAAGACAAATAGTTTACATGAATCATGGCCTCATTTTACCCAAAAACCAACAATAGATGGCTTGACTACCACTACCCCAGCCCATTCTAACTAGGTCCACAGTAGATGGAGCCTGGTAGAATGGAACAGAGCCTCAAATTCTTTAAGAAGAGAAAATACCATAAAACCAGACTTGCTGGACTGTTTAAGACTGAATGACTCCCCAAGACTATTGCCCTGAGATTAAAGCCTGACTGAGATTAACCCAAGGTTATCTTGTAGCTAGATTCGCTCATAAAATGAGTATCACCTGTAAGTACTGTGCACCTTTAAAAAACAAAAACAAAAAAAAACCCACCTGAGACTATATAGTTAAAATGACTTTATAAATATGAGAATGTAGGGGGCAGAGAAACTAGACTAATAGAAGAACAACCAGAACGAAAAGAATGTCTATGCATTGTGAAAAACGTAATCAGTGTCACTGAAGAATTTGTGTAGAAATTGTTGAATGAGAGTCTAAACTACTGTGTAAGCCTTCACCAAAAATATATATGTTAAAAAGAGAAATAATGATAAAGAAAACAAATTTGTTAAGATGGATTTACAAATAGGCACCAAACTCTATTTATGAAAAACTTATTTATAAAAGATGAGATGAAGGGGGACTTTCTTACTTCCTGTGCTACATTATCTTTGTAATGCCTGGATTCTGTATAATTTCATATAATGAATATTCTATAACAAAGAGAAAAGGGAGTTTGACTCAGTTACAAAAAAAACAAATTTCATACTTTCCATGTCCTTAAGTATTCTAACAGAACCCTTCTATCTTGTATAACCTCACCTTCATCGAGTTCTGGTTCAGAATCACCAAATACTTCATCTTCGTAACGAAACATATCATTGTGAACATAAAACTTATTTGGAACAGAGCCCTATAGGAAAACAACATCCACATTAATTCCATAAATACCTATAAACAAGGCATCATATAAAACAAACTACCAGGCATATATACTTTGAATACTAAAGAAATACAGGCATACCTCATAGGTACTACAAGTATGTTTCCAGATTACTGTCATAGAGCAAGTACTACAATCAAGCTAGTCACACAGAATGTTTTGCTTCCCAGTGCATATAAACTGTATTTACATGGTGGTGCTGTGGGTTAATGCAAACTGACTGCAAAGTCAGTTTGAATTGCAAGGTCAGTGGTTTAAGCTCATCAGTCACTCCTCAGAAACCCTAATACAGGGTTTGCTATGGGTCGAAACCACCTTGACAACACTTAACAACAACAACATATTAAGTGTGCAATAGCCTTATGAAAGTTTGAAATACTGTTAAGAATTACCAAAATGTAAGACATTAAATGATCATGCATTATTGGGGGAAATGGTACTGATAAGACTTGCAGGGGCTGCCACAAACCATCAATTTATTTTAAAAAATGCAGTATCTGTTAATTGCAATAAAGCAAAGCACAATAAAACCAGATATGCCTTTACTGTAGACTCAATGTAATCTTCCAAAGTTGAATGTATATTGCTAACTTAAACTAAGAAGGATCAGTCAAGGAAGACTGGAACTCGAAAAATGGCTACTCAAAAGTAGTAGACTGTGACCAACTGATACGCAGAAACTTCAATTTTACTTCAATATGGAACCAATATAATAGAGCAGTAGTTTCTTTTTTTTATATAATTATTTCTATAAACTTAATTATCTATGTGCACATTTTTTATCAGTATTTAAGTTTCACTTCCAAACCAAAGCACAAACATACACACACAAAAAGCTCAAACTATATCAACGTAGTTTCAATACAAATACCTCAAAAATAGAAACAACCTATAAAAAGAAACTCTTAGACACTAGAAACAACTAATAGCAATCAAATGAAAGCGAAGTGAAATGAAAACTTACTTCAGGAGCAAGAACAAAAGTTTGCATAAACTTCCTCTCTGGCTGTCCACTGTTAGACAGCAAACCCATGACCTGGACAACTACTCCATCACTCAAAGTTGCATGAGCATCCACATGACGAATTTTAGTATGACATTCGCTGAAGTTCAGAGATAATACCTTGTGGTGTATATCCTGTATGGGGTGGGAGTGGGGGAAACATACAAACTTGTGATACTGTGTTACCTACTACAATCCCTCACTGATTGCCTAACAACTCTAGAATGTTAACCAATTAATCTTTCTTTCTGCTTCATTTAAATCTATTCCAACATCCCTCTTCTTCATTTTATGCATCACATGAGACTAATGCTCCTAAACCAATTTTAATATCACCTTTCTAAACAAGAAATCACAGTGGTTCTCTGACGGGGCTTCAAAATTTGTGGAAGAATTCCATCTTTCCACACTAAGTTTTAGAAGCAGTAACTTGGGGTTTCTACAGTTTTCTCTTACTTTTATGTAATAAATATTTAGTCATAAACTATTGACTAGTACTGGACTTTCCAATACCTAATTTCACTTCTATTTTGTTTGCTAAGGTCATTTTTTTCTACTTAAAATTTCACCCTGCTTAGTACAGTAAAATTCTTATTTCAAATTCTAGCTAAGTCAGGCATCCTCTACAAATCTTTTCTTCCCTGTAAGCTATATGGAGCACATCCTTTTGGACATTCCTATAACATAGGATTTAGTCCTGTATAAACTTCATACAATGTATCAATTGTTTCATGTATACAATTCAAGCATATGAAGATGCACTCTGCCTTCTCCTTGGTATCAAGACCACACAAAACTGGATGCTTAGTAAGAACTCAAAGTACATTTGTCAATTATTGAAACATAATGACCATATATCCTTGTAATAAAGGAGAAATAGACATAAAAAGATTAATTTTTAAATATCTAACACAAATACATATAAAAAATATGTATCAGACTTATACTTACATTTTGGCCATAAACAGCTTCCTGTGGCTTTCCACTAGCATCTACTCCACCATGAACATAGGAGGAATTCCTGCCATAAAACCTATAAAACCGTCAATAATTAATGGTTAACAAAGAATTTAAACAAAGTCTGAGAGGCAATAGAGTTCTGGTGTCAAACAGACCTAAGTTCCAACCCTGGCTCTGTCACTAATTAGTTGTGCAATCTTGTGCAAGTTAACCTAAGGTCTTTACACTCAGTTTCCTAGGTTATAAAACAGGAACAGTATCTACTCCATAGGGTTGTTTAAGGATTAAACGAGATCATGCACATAGAATGAATGCTTAGTATGGTACCTGGCAGACTAAGTACAGACTCAATCACTAGTTATTCTCATCTAATTCTTAAATGGCAGGAAGAGATATACAAAATACATTTAAAATACTATCACTACAGTAAGAGATCAGTTTTTATCCTTCCGATAAAAGCTCAAGTTATCTAGATTTGTTTGGGAACCAGATATTATTTAACATTCTACACAGTTCCAAATGATGACTGATCCCAAAGGCTTAGATTAAAACAATTAAAATAATTCAGAGACCAAGTCAAAATCTACTTTATTTTAATATCTAATTTCACAACAATATTTTAATACTGCTTTTAAGTACATGATAAAATTTTTGTGTTTCCTTGACATTACCTAAAGTAATTAGGATTAACAGCAACAAATTAAGGTTACCAAAGATACAAAGTAATTTTTCACAGACATTCCAGTTCCTATCAATAAAACATTAAAATGTTTCCTTTTTGTCAAGCATTGTTCTCAGTGCATTATTGTATTGCATATCCATCCATTTAACCTTAACAACCTAATGAAATAAGGGCTATTACCCCTATTTTACAAATGAACAGAGTGAGGTTCAGAGGAGGTTATAATAACTCACCTAAGGTCACACACCTAGAAAGTGGGAGAGCTTAAAGACTCGAACCCAGACAGTCTGGCTCCAGAGTCCATGCTTTAAAACCACTACCCTATGTTGTTTTTTTCCTCCCTGTTATTTTAAATTTATTTTCTCTCATATAATACTGGCAAACATGTAAACTTTTTTTTTTTGTAAAGGATAACTTGGCAATATTTATGTATATATATGAAAAGCCTTAGAAATGATCATACCTTTGATGCAACATTTCCACTTCTAGGAACTTATCCTAAGGAAATAACTAGAAAGGTGCACAAAAATGCATGTTTAAGGATATTCAATACAGTGTTGTTTACAACAAGTGAAAAATTACAAACATCCTAAATTTCCTTTAATAGGGAAATTGGTTAAATAAGCTAAGTATAAACAATTCCATGCTGTTATTAAAAAATGATGGTGTAAGAGCCTTATTGATTTAAATTTTACTTTTTTATATGACTACAAAAATAAATGCTGCAAAAAATAAATAAATGCTCCTTGAAAGAGGAATTTAAAAAGCTTAACACTTATATAAAGCACGAAAAGACCCAATTTAGGATAGTGAAAAGCCCTATTAATATCACTCTTCCCAAACTCCCTCATATACACTGTAAACATGAATGCCGTCATTTTATCATTTGAAAAATGTACAACTATTTGCTTTTGGTAGGGAGGAGGGGTTGAAATTGGGGACACATTAAGTATACTTTAAATATACTGTATTTCAGTAAAACAGCATGGTTGGGCTCTGGAGTCAGAAATGGGTCTGAATACTGGCTATGGCTAGCTCACATTCACTTACTGAGTGATCTTGGATGAATTACTCAATCTCCCTGTGCCTCAGCTTGCCCATCTGTAAAGTGAAATAAAAGTATCTACACCTCATATAGATAATGTATATATATATATATAAAGTGATTAGACAATCTTAACAAATAATGTTACAATGTCTCCTGGAATAAGGCAGAGAATATTATATACATGGGTAACATTGTGAAATTACAAAATCTAATTTTAGAAAGTTCAGCATGCTTATAAAAATGGTATGTCTTAAAAGCTTATCCCAAATGAAGTGGCAATGATATATTTACCCTTGACTTATACGGCTAGTGTGTTCAACAAATACAGTAAAACCTGCAAAAACTGTAAATGGTATAAGGCAGAACCTGTTAAAAAAGGGAAACTCAAAATATTTTCCAATAATTAAGAGTGAAACCAAAGTATTAAGACTTCACCATTAAAGGTGGAAAATGTGTTAACACATGGGAAAACAAAAGCAGTTCACAGGTTTCACTGTACTTACAAAATCTAATCCTTACAAGAGCCTCACCTATCTTCTACTTGCTAAGATACACCTTTGAAGAACGAAAAACGAGCACCACTCACATTTTAAATTTATTAAATATAATAAATTTAATTTCAACCTATGGAAAAAGAAGGTGTACAAAATGCTTAACTCTTTCCAAGAGAATACACAAGGCTACTGTTTTACCAAGTACCAATACAATTTTGCAGATCAAATAAAATTAAAATTTTCAAATGCAGAACTGATTCATTTTTCAAACTCACTAATTTGTAGAACTTAAAGACAATAAGCCAGTGATTTTAAAACTGTACTTTGCAATCCTTTAGTTGGTCAAGTCCAAGATATTTTTAAAAAATGAAATGTACAATACCAAAGTTTATAGTATATATTAGTAAAAGTGTGTGTGTGTGTACTAGAATGAGTGTGTGTGTGTACTAGACTGCTAATTTCAAAGTTGGCAGTTCAAAAGCACCAACTGCTCCTTGGAAACCCTATACAGGTGAATCAGAACTGGACTTGACAACACTTAGCAATATGTGTGTGTGTGTGTGTGTGTATATACACATACATAAAAGGAGCTCTGGTAGCGTAGTGGTTACGAATCGGGCTGCGAACCTTAAGGTCAGCGGTTCGAAACTACCAGCCACTCCGCGGGAGAAAGATGAGGCTTTCTACTCCCGTAAAGATTTACACCCTTGGAAACCCTGTACAGGGTCGCTATGGGTCGGACCCGACTCGATGGCACTTAACAACAACAACAACATATAGTAGCGTAGTGGTTACGAATCGGGCTGCTAACCTCAAGGTCAGCAGTTTAAAATTACCAGCCGTTCCGCGGGAAAAAGATGAGACTTTCTGCTCCCATACAGATTTATAGCCTCAGAAACCTTATACAGGGTCGCCATGAGTCAGAACTGACTCCACAGTACTTAACAACATATACAAACACATAAATGTATTTATGTGTGTAAAGGTAGACAGACAGACATGTAGTCCTGGGATAGCGCTGTGAGTTAATGCAATGGACTGCAAAATCTATTTGAATTGCAAGGTTGGCAGTTCAAGCTCCCAGCTGCTCCTGGAAAACCCTATATAGGGTTGCTATGGGTTAGAGCTGACTCAGCAGCACTTAACAACAAAATATATATATATATATATATATATCCTTATGGTGCTGTAAGGTAAGCACTAGACTGCAAACCACAAAGTCAGTGGTTCAAACCTACCAGCCGCTCCCCAGAAACCATATATAGGGTCACTATGACTTGGAACCAAGTAGACAGTACTAAACAACATACACACACACACACACCAGCTGCTCCTCGGAAACCCTATACAGGGTTGCTATGGGTCGGAACTGACTAGACGGCACTTCACAATATATATATATGTATATATGTATATATACACACACACACACACAAACACATACACATATATAGGATAAACATAATTTCACAAAGCTTTTCAGATGGGAATGTGCCATTAAGTACTGGAACACAAAATAAACTTTTTGTTGAGGTTTCAGTCAAAAAATTTGGAAAACACTGGTTTAGGAAGTCATATGGTTACTGAATGTGGTTAATAGATGTTTAGAAAGATACTGTCAGGACATAAAGCTAAAGAAAAGGAAATATGTAACCATATTTAAGAAAAATACTAGAATTAATCTGAAATTTACCTGTGTAAATACTCTGGAGCTTTATTCAGCAAAGTATAGTATTGCCTCACAAACTCCCGCCCTACAAGCAGCGGACTGGGCTTCTCCATAACCATTTCTTTGCTGCACAATGTCAAATGCTAAAGGAGGGGGGAAAAAAAAAAGTCATCTTTGCAATTACCATAAAATTAATCTTCTTGGCCACATAAACAGACATAATAAACTTAGTATCATCTATAAAAAGACAATTTATAAAAATGGTTAATTCCCAACAGCTACTGGTAGCCTCCAATATTTGCATTTGTCCTGTTTCTATTTTTTGAGCCTCTCTCCTATCTCAGCATAAGGAAAATAACACCCTTGTTTTATTCTTTATTTTATCCCATGAGAATCCAGTGCTGCCTCAGACTAAGATGTGCTAAACCAAGTATTATCTATAATGTCCTTATCCTTTGGTTATCACCATCTCCTATCTTCCTGAATTCCAATGGTGTATACTGGAAAACGAGGCAGAATGACAAGTCAGCAGTAGAGGTGGCATGCATCATGAGGACAGCACTTTGAGTTGTGTACCCCTTCCTTTCTGGGGACTAATTTCATTGTTTTGCAAATGGTGACAATGATTACTATTGGCAATCAGCCATAATACCTCAGCACTCAAGAGACAATAATATTTTTACATTTGGTATACACACTTCCAAAGTTTCTTTTCATTAATTAAGCATCTAATTACATAGGAGGTATTAATTATGGCAAATGGGATACAATGGTGACCAAAATAGTTTCTAGCCATCAATGAATTTATAATCTATCAAGGAATATAAACAGGCAATTATTGTTGTTGTTATTAAGGGCCATCAAGTCGGACCCATAAAAACACTGTATACGGTTTCTGAGGAGCAGCTGGTTGAGTCTTAAGCAGCAGATCTAACAGTCCAAATAAACTCAGTAGAATATGGAATCCTGTTGTGGCACTGTAGTATAAGCATGGGACTGCTAACCACAAAGTCAGCAGTTCAAACCACCAGTTGTTCCCTGGAAACTCTATACAGGATTGCTATGAATTGGAACCGACTAGACAGCACTTTAACAACAAAGATGAAACCTCAAAGTAAAAAACAAAAACAAACACATCTCATCACATAATTTACCCTAATGCAATACATCGTTTGATTTCTTGACTGGTACTTCCATGAGTGTTGATCACATAGGGTTTATTACCCTACAAATAAAATAAACTTGAAAAAATAATTTTTAAAAAAAACTTCTAGTGACAAAAAAAACTACTGTTTCTGGGTTTGGGGATAATCAGTCTCTCTTCTGCTCATTTCCAATTTTTCTGCAGTGACCACTGTTATTTGACTCCAAATTTCCTGTCATATTCATAAAGCAGATTTGCAAAACTGAAACTCAAAGGGAATACTCAAGCAGGCTTGTAAGCTTGCTGGAGACCATCATGTTGGTCTACTTGTGAGTGGAAGTGACAGAAAGGCAGTAAATAAAGACATAGGCTGAGTGTGACCATGTTCCATAGACTCCTGTCAATCTTGAGATGAGAGAGAGAAGAGGAAGGGTTGGTTGGTCTGAAGTTTGAGGAGACCTGAGAACCACTGAGCCCATCATCACTGACCAAGACACTGGGGGCTAGAGTTAAGAGTAAACTGTCCAGCTGATATGAAGTTGGGGCGGGGAAGGTATGAGGTATGCAAGAATGCCCAAACTTGCAGATAGACCCATCTGACCTAGTTTGGATGCCTTGATGATCAAAACTCTAGAAGAAGGTAAAGAAATTTAATACAGGAAGCTAGAATTTGCTACAATTTGACATACTTGACCTTATCTTATAGATGCAGTAATACAAAATATAAACCCAGAGGGAGGGAGTCTTCAAATCAAGGATCAAGCATATCACTTCAATACACAGGGTTGACAGAGACAGGCAACTCAGACACTGGCTACCTAAAATTGGGAAGGGGGGGGGTGTAATAAAGGCACGAGGTAGCTTGCTTACAAGTTTTCATGAGGGTGTTTAGTTTCAGAGTGAGGAGGGGAAGGTAGAATCCCCAGTGAATAGTTTCCAACTTGTCTAGATGGGTCAGGTGAAAGGAAATGTGGATAGGATTCTTTTGATTTAATTATTATCATGACTAATTCTGACAATTGTAAAGGTAGAAGATGTGTAACAAAAAGGGAAGAGTAGTTAATGTTACATTCCAGAACAGAGGACCCTATGACCAGCAAGAGGGAAGGAACATGAGCAGAATGTGGGACCCTAACCAGAGAGGCAGGCAGTGTGGCACTGTAGGTTAATGCACCAGACTGCAATGCCGTTTGAACTACAAGATTGGTGGTTCAAACTCACAAGCTGCTCCTCAGAAACCCTATACAGGGTCACTATGGGTCAGAACCAACTCGACGGCACTCAACAACCAGAGAAGCAGTGACACCAGAGATGGAGGTAAAGGCAATGCCATGGAGAGAGAGATCATCTGAAGACTCATAGAAAGAGAAAGGCTGTGTGCTGACAGGCAGGCTGCTGGTTTGCAAAACGTGTCATTTGGTTGTTTAAACAATTATATATTCCTGCATGGTTTTGTGTACATCAAAAAAAGGGGCTACAATCATTACAATGAAGCAAGATGCTACTAGCTGAATGCAAAACTGATGATCTGCCATGTAGACTATCACTCAATTCACAATAAAAGCTTTGTTGTTGTTGTTGCTAAATGCCATAGTCGGGTTCCGACCCATAGCAACCCTGTATAGGGTTTCCGAGAAGCAGTTAGTGAGCTTGAATTGCCGGCCTTGTGGCTCAAGCAGACTTTGCAGTCCAGCATATTAATCAACAACAACAAAAAGATTAAGTCAAAGCATAAAGAAGTTAGTTTAGCAAACTTCATTACAGTCCAGTCATTAAAGCATGAGGTGATGATGCACTTATATAGTGGATATTAGATGCTGTCCAGTCAATTCCCACTCATAGTGACCTTATGCGCTACATAACAAAGCACTGTGTGGTCCTGCACCATCCTCACAATCTTTGCTAAGCTTCAGCCCGTTGCTGATGCAATGTTCCATCCATCTTGTTGGAGGTTGTCTTCTGCTTTTTTCACTGACCCTCTCCACTTTATGTAGCATGATGTCCTCTTTCTCCAGGGACTGGTCCCTCCTAATAATATGTCTGAAGTATGAGAGGCAAAGTCTAGCAATCCTGGTTTCAAATGAGCATTCTGGCTGTACTTCTGTGAATACAGATCTGTTTGTTCTTCTGGTGGTTCACAGTATTCTTCCACAAAACCACAAATCCAATTAATCAACTCTACAGTCTTCCTTATTCCCTGTCCAACTTTCACTTACATATGTTTTGTTATTGTAGTTAAGTGCCGTTGAGTCGGTTCCAACCCACAGCGACCCTGAACAGGGTTTCCTAGACTGTAAAAATCTTCACGGGAGCAGAAAGCCTCATCTTTCTCCCACGGAGCAGCTGGTAGTTTTGAATTGCTAACCGTGAGGTTCACAGTCCAATTCGTAACCACTACGCTACCAGAGCTCCTTTCACTTACATAGCATGACTTGAGTCAAGTGCACCTTAATCCTCAAGCTAACATCTTTGCTCAACACTTTAAAAGAGGTCTTGTGCAGCAGCACGTGTGCCTAATGCAATACATCATTTGATTTCTTGACTGCTGCTTCCATGAGTATTCATAGAGGATCCAAGCAAAATGAAGTCTTTGACAACTTCAATCTTTTCTCCATTTATCTAGATGTCATTCACTGGTCCAATGAGAAGGACTTTGTTTTCTTTACATTGAGGTGCAACCCATACTGAAGGCGGCGGCCTTCGATTTTCATCAGTAAGTATTTTAAGTCCTTTTTGCTTTCAGTAAGCAAGGTTTTATCATCTGCCTACCACAGTTTATGAGTCTTCCTCCAATCCTGATACCATGTTCTTCTTATTCATATATTCCAGCTTCTCAGATTACTAGCTCAGCATACAGATTGCAGACTGAATGAGTATATGGTGAAAGAATACAACCCTGGTGTACACCTTCTTGATTTTAAACCATTCATCACCAGTGGTGATGTGTCGTGGAGTCCGTTCCGACTTACAGCAACCCTGTACAGGAGTTCCAAGGCTGCAAATCTTTAAGGGAGCAGAAAGCCTCATCTTTCTCCTGCGGAACAGCAGATAGTTTCGAACTGCTGATCTTAAGGTTTGCAGCCCGATTCATAACCACTACACTATATGGATGCAAAAGTTGGACAGTGAATAAGGAAGATCGTAGAAGAACTGATGCCTTTGAGTTGTGGTGTTGGAGGAGAATACTAAAAGTGCCATGGACTGCCAAAAGAACCAATAGATCTGTTTTGGAAGAAGTGCAGCCAGAGTGCTCCTTGGAGGCCAGGATGGCTGAGCTCCGTCTCTCATACTTTGGACATATTGTCAGGAGGGAACAGTCACTGGAGAAGGATGTCATGCTGGATAAGATGGAGGATCAGAGAAAAAGAGGAAGACCTCCAACAAGATGGATCAGCCAGGTGGCATCATTGATGGCATCAAGTGTGGCAGCAGTAGTGAGGTTGGCCCAGGATCAGACATTGTTTCGTTCTGCTGTGTATGGGGTCACTATGAGTCGGTTCCGACTCAATGGCACCTGACAACAACACTACCAGAGCTCCTTTATTTTAAACCATTCAATATGCTCTTTATCTATCTGAACACCTGCCTCTTGGTCTATGTACAGGTTCCTCATAAACACAATTAAGTGCTCTTGAATACTCAGGAATACTGTCCAGTTTGTCATGATCCATACAGTCTAAAGCCTTTGCATAATGAAATAGAGCATAGGTAAACATCTTTCTGATATTCTCTTTTAGATAAGGTTCATATGTCAGCAACGATATCCCTGGTTCCACATCCTAGTCTGAATATGATTTGAACCTCTGACAGTTCTCTGTCAATGTCATGTTTCAGCTATTTTTAAATTATGTTTAGCCAACTTTCACTAGCATGTGATACTGATACCACCCAATGATTTCCTCATTGCCCATTCCAATGATCACCTCTCTTTGGAATGGGCACAAATATGGATCTCTTCCAATCAGTTGGCCAGATGGCTGTCTTCTAAATTTT